ATATATGTGTTTTCTACAAATGATATAAATCAATTATGTAAGCAACCGTATACTTAATAAAAAATCAATCATTTAAAAAATATGTTATATCTTGTTGCATGCCCACTAAAAACTGTTCATATTTTATTTCATGTTTTCATGCACACAACAGGAATTGAACCTGCATCCCACACAGAACCGTCATATAGCCTGACGTGTCATATCAGTTTAGCTACAGATGAGTGTCTGGAGACCTTACTAACCAGACGGAGACACTTATTTTCTATGAAAATGTCTCGGCTGTTCAGGCCGGTAAATGTTGTTAATACTGTTTATTATAAACAGAGTATTTTCTTAAATATTTGTGCCTATATAAATAACGTATAACAATAAAATATATTAAAATAATTGTCGGACTTTGTCCATTTCGTAGTGTGTGACTTCATTTGTTTACGTTTACATACGCTTCGAGAAGATATGAATGTTTGAAGGAAATGATGGAAAATTGTAGTTTAAAAGCAGTAAAATTGACCTTGCTAACCTGACGCTCCTCTGTAGCTAAATTGGTATAGCACGTCAGGCTATATTACGGTTCCTTGTAAGATACAGGTTAGATTCCTGTCAGAGGACACATATATTCTATGAAAATTTCTCGGACGTTCAGGCCGGTAAATGTTGTTATTACTGTTTATTATAAACAGAGCATTTACTTAAATATTCATGTCTATATACAGGGTGACCCAAAAAAACGGGAATTTTTGAAGTGCGTATTGCCAGACATGAGCAAGTGGCAACACTGCGAGAGAGTGACCTTGAGCAAATAAACATTTCGCCATTTAGAATTCAAGATGAAATTCACGGTATCCCAGCTGAGATATTGCAGCTTTCAATGAGAACTTTCAACAGCAGCAACAGCTAAAATGCATATCACATGTAACGCGGAAAGAAAACAATGGCATAATGAAGACGTTAACATTCCACATAAAAAGTTAGGAAAGAAACTCCCATCAATATATAAGATTATTTCTCACTTATTTTCAAAAATCTTTGACGTGTGCAAAAGTTTACAGCATTTTTATTTTTTAAATCCGATTTTCTACTTTGTATATCTCTAATTTTCCAACGGAGTAAAGAAAGCAAAAAGGTACAAATGGTTTTCAACGTTTGATTTTAATATTCAAAGCCCGTTGACTATTGATGCCAAGGGATAGTCTTGCTTACTCCCAATAATGTTTTAATTTTATTGTTATCGACCTCGACTAGTCCATCTGATTATGTAGCATCGTTCAGTAAGAAATTTTCAGTATGACACTTTGTAAACCACTTTTGGCACTTTAGTTCATTCACAGTACTTTGTCCATAAACTGTCCAATATTTCGCTTTTATCTATTTCTTTATGTTTACTTGATTTTTTTTTTGGGGGGTATTGTTTTTTCAATAGTGTTTTTATCTTAAAATAAAAGAAAACAACATATGGCGGAGAGTTTGCTTATTTTCTTTTATTTCAATTTCGTAAACAATAAACAAAAGTATGCAATCTTTTATTAAATAAAATTATGTCTGCTGATATGACAGAGTTTTCAATACAATGAAAAGCGATTTTTAATGTTGCTAGTTAATCTTAAACACTCCTAATGCGAGCTGACGTCCAAAAAGAACGATGTCTTTGGTAAATCCAATGTAAATATTTATATAATGAAATTATGTGTATATCTGATTTCATTAATGATTATTATTATTTATTAGATAAACCAATGAAGCCGGGACTGTAGCTTTGAACATCTTGAAAGCCTTTGACAGGGTTTGGCATACAGGTCTTCTCCACAAGGTTAAATTTACGGTGTCTCCGGACACATTTTGAACTGATCCAGCCGTTCCTATCCTGAACAGCCACTCGTCTGCATCCTTTCGTACTGACGCGGGTGTCCCCCAGGGCTCCATCCTAGGTCCTACTCTGTTTTTAATATTCATTAATGATCTTCCCGATGGCAGCAGCTCTCAACTTAGCATCTACGCTGACGTCACAATCATTTATTCCTGCCTCGATAGTAAGGCTGATCAGTCTGACAAGGTCAAAATGGCAGCCGATGTCCTAAACGACCTCCAATTCGTCGTTAACTGGCGCAAAAGATAGCTTGATAATTTAAATGCCTGCAAGTCTAAAATTCTTTATTAATCATCTGAGAGACTCCTCTCTGCCTTCCGTCAGCACGGCTGATGCTAACCTCCAGGAAAGTGACTCGCTAACGTTCTCAAATGACATGAAGTGGAATGACTGTATTGAATCCATTGGTAGATCAGCTGCCAAGAACATCGGTTCACTTTGTCGTGCGAGACAATTTTTATCTCCATAATCTATCTTACATATCTATAAGTCTACCATTCGTCCATGCTTAAAATATTGCTGTTACATATGGTCCGGTGTCCCTGTTATTTACCTAGAGATCCTTGATCAGATTCAAAGAAGAATCAATAATATTATTGGTCCTGATCGGCTTCAGTCACTTTCCCAGCCTACTTTAATCTGCAAAAAATTAAAAGCAATGTTAATCTTCATTATTACTCTTTTCTCTTTCCACTTATCATTAATATTTCTATTCCTAATTGTTCCTCACCTGTAATCCCTTGTGTCTTAGTGGCTTTACTGCCTTTCATGGAGTGATACCGATTAAAAAACGTATTGCGTATAACAATAGCAGTCTTAAGCGCAAATGTAATATAATCTTGGCCTAAAACAATTGTGTTTAGCTATATATTATAACCGACATGAATCGACATGTAATATGAAACGTGTTTTGTTGAAAGTAATAAACATTTTATATAACAGAACATGAAAGTTAAAAAAAAAAATTCTTGGTGAGAATGTCTGTTCACTTACATCATATTAGCCAGGAGATAAAAAGATTGAGTGAGATAAAATAAAAGAACAATTCTAATTATATATTACAATAAATGCGAAGTTTTTCATAGGTGGAAAAATAGTTATATGTGACTATTTGTTCGTCGAACAAAGGAAAGTGTTAGTAAAATGTAAATCGTGGTAGAAAAGGTTGGAAAATAAGACGTGATGTATGTCTGTCCTGTGTCTGTATTGCACATTAGTTATCCCAGTGCCTCTGATAAATATTCACTTCCAGAAATAATGTTGGCATGAGAACTTGATGCTTCACCTGTTTAGCAAGAGTTAAAAAAAAATTAAGTAATGATTTGACCGGCAACGAAAAAATAATCGACTCTAAAAAAATCAACTTTTTTTTTGTGGAAACGAAATTTATTTCTATTTAGTCTGAGTTACTTGCCGTCTCAAAAAAATGAATGAAAATGCATGCAAAAGTCTACCTGGAGATAAAATAACATGAAGTTTCATAAATCGCTTTCTCAAATTAATGATTAAAAATGGATTCAAGCGAATAATTTCTTTAGGTTTGAAATGAAGATAATCCTTCATCAGACCCTATAATGATTAAAAATGGCTTCAAGTGAATGAATCCTTTAGGTCTGAAAAAAAATAATATCTCATCAGACCCTATAATGATTAAAAATGGCTTCAAGCAAATAAATTCTTCAGGTCTGAAAAGAAGATAATCCTTCATCGGACCCTATAATGATTTAAAATGGCTTCAAGCGAATAAATCTTTTAGGTCTTAAAAGAAGATAATCCTTCATCAAACCCTATAATGATTAAAAATGGCTTCAAGCGTGTGAATCCATTAGGTCTGAAAAGAACATAATCTTTCATCAGACACTATAATGATTAAAAATGGCTTCAATCGAATGAATCCTTTAGACCTGAAAAGAAGATAATCCTTTATCAGACTCTATAGATTGGCGCTACAAAATCCCCGAAAAATAGCTTTATCTAATGACGGAAACAGCGCCACTAGAACACTTCCAATAGCACCAACAATAATTGGTAACCCATGATGTAACAGGAAGAGAAAATAATATAATCAAGTTTCAATCAAAAGTCTGAAAATAACTCCTATCAAAAGTAGTGTTAAGAACTAGTGTGCTTGAGAAATGTAATTACTTGAAAACTCTAGATTTTTGTTATTAATTTCAACCAACAATAGCACTAAATGTTCAGTCAAGGAATACTGAATATTTCCTGGTGCTACAAAATATATAAAGAGCTTTACCAGATAACAAAAAACATCACTTGGCCTCTAACAGCAACAACAATTAAATAGCACATGAAACTAAAGGGACAGATAATGATATAATCAATATGTTAACTTTCCACACAACATTATAAGAAAGTTTTGAAAGGAAAGTTTAAACAATACTAAAAAGATTGAACCCTGTCTTCTGGGACTTAGAATACGCCGACTGCACCTCTCTAGAGAGATAGGAACACCCACCCTGCAAACGAGGCGTCCTGGGTAGGACTATAAACTACATCCAACAGCAAGGCTTCTGGTCAGGAGGTTTTGACAAACATGAAACCACCTCTTAATTACTGGTGTTCCCAGCTCCACCCTTACCCGGGGTGCTAGCACCTGTTAGGATCCCAGCTATGAGCAAATAGTTTGACCCCAAACTGAGGTCAAAACACTACGAAAGTGTAAAAATAGATTTTAATACCATCAATACATTACCAATAATGAATTTTTGAAGAAAAAATATTAGCAGCAATACATTTTTGGAAAAAAATATTACCAGCAATAAAAATCTTGTCGGTATTAAATAGCCCATTCAAGTTGATATGCCGTAAAACAAAACAAACCAAACCAAAAAGATTGATTGATATATTCGTTTTCTACGGCTTATGAACCCTTTGTCGGTTATATAAATCTAGACATACTTTTTTAGATTTCAAGAATTTCTTTTTTGGAGATAATAATGGTTTAGTGATACAAGTCTTACTAATTAACCTATAGATGGGGTGGAAAAGGTGGATTCATACCTTAATCAGAAGTGATTGTGCGTAAGTGAATATAATGAAGCCAACGGGAATTGGAACTCGGGTCTCCGATTAACAATTCCAAGCCATTATCCATTACACCACCTGCACATCCAAGCTTGCAGCAACAGTTATCCCCAAGCGTCACCCATCTAGGTACTGATCAGGCTCGACGTTGCTTAACTTCGGTGGTCGTACGGAAACCGGTGTTTCGACGTATTATATGGCCGTAAGCCAAAAGTGCGATGACAATGGACTCGAGAAGTCTAATTCCTATAAAACTGATTTCAGAAAAAGATTTTATAAATTTCAGCCAATAGTAAAGTAAACTGCTCGGTCAATTATGTGTATGGAAATAGCTAATTTCACCATTACCATTTTATATAAGAAACTACATTGCTTGAAGTTTGTTGTCCTTGAGAAAGTCAGTGGTTACTAATAGTTTAATCTGCTTATCTTTCAATAATTTATTATCTTAACATGGTAAAAGTTTTCAAATAAAATATTTTTTGTAAATGATATGGGCGAATATGATTTTGTACAGATTTCGTTTCTTTATTTTAGAATTGCCATAACTTGGGGAAAATAGTGGAATAATTCCCCGTTGTCTTCTCTGCGGTTTTGAATTCAAAGAAGTCCTTCGCCTAAACCAGTGATTCTCAAAGTGGGCGGCACCGCCCCCTGACAGTGAAAAGATTCAGGGACGGTGAGGAAATGTGGGCAGCTAGAGGGAAGCGGAGGCACATCTGAATCATAACATACACCACACACACACACACACACACACACACACACACACACACACATTGTGCCAGAAGTATATCTTGCCTTCACTTTACATTGTATCTCATTTATATAACAATTATTATGGGAAATACTAAGATAGTCATTTGGCTTGCAATACTAGAACCAAAAAAATTCCAATCAAAGATTGACTATACATTTGGGAGCCGTTAGGGTTGTGTTGACGCGGAAACTCTAAAATGTTTGGGAACAATTGGTCTCGACTTACTGTCACACTAGGCTATCGATTCCAGTCTAACCTATTATTTAACCAATAGTAAGTAGGAAATGGATTCATGCCTTTCCCAATTAGTGCGAACGTGAACGTGTGTTTTCGGATGTTTAATGACTATCAATTGCACATGGACATCCTCTACCACCTTGGTTTTCAAGATTGGTATCTACACTGAGGGATTTCAGGAACCAGTGAGACAATGGCATGTGAAAGAAAAAAAAAATTAATTTTATTATTGTTGAAACTTGACTAATGCATGGAATAATAATACAACACAAAATGTATTTAGAACAAAATGTATTGAAACAAGAAAGTGTACACAATATTTACATATAGTCTTTTGTATATTCCTGGGAAGACCGTTCCTGGAGAATGTGTTGACTTAGTCGCAGTCGGGCAGAGTCTCTGGATTGAATCTCTTGATTCCTTCCCCTCTCTTCCCGGGACCAACCATATTTATATGGTCGGTACTCCACTATGCAAATTAGGTGGATCCTACCACAACAATTATCATCTTACTTTTTGTGTTCTTTGTAATAAAATTATTGCCAATTCCATATTTCGCGCCTATAACAATTACGCTATCCACAATAAATCGAATAAAATATATACACTGCCTAAACTACGTCTTATGAAGAAGTCCATCTCATCAAATATAAATGCCATGCTATCACTGAGTGAACTAACATATTATTAAAACATAACAAGGTCATTCAATGTTGAAACGTTTAGCTACTGGGGAAAAACTGACCAGATATATAGGGAAAAATTATTTTTCATGCAATGACTGATGCAAGAAATTTCTTTGTCATTGGTCTTCTGGGGAATTGATTCAATTCGTTGATACTGGTTAAGGTAATAAAAGAAACGATTTCTCTCAACTGTTTGGTTCGATTTTATACAGTTTACGGTATGTGTCAATTTATCTAATGTCGAATTTTGTAGTTTTGATAGACAATAAATATGTATACATAGGCTTGGCTTGCATGAAAATCAAACAGACGTTTTCACGAGACTCAAAAAGGCAAACATATGTTTAACTTGCAAGACACTCAAAAAGGTAGGCATAGGTTTAGTTTGTATGAGAATCAAAACGTCAGACTCTAACGGATGGTAAAGTATTTCGGGTATATAGCTGTAATGAAAAAGTACGCAGGTGTAGGCTTTAAGAAAGCTTTATTCAACTGGGAATACAAGGTTCACGTATAGTGTTCTTTTATAGTCTCAGTAAACAGAGATAGGAAACCATTCTTGATCATTCATAACAATAGCATCACGAAAATATATTCCGTTGCACTGTTGGGAAATGCTTTTGTTATTAAATCCACTTTCAACATGAAGCTGAACAGAATTGTTCTACTGCTTTTATGATTAACCTCCTTTAAAATCACGGGAAAATAAGTTTGATGGAGAACTGTTCATCTGAAAGTAAAGCATATTTATTTCTATAATTACGGGATCAAAATTTACATTTGAATAGATTAACCTTTCTGATCATGAAAACTTGCAAAAAAATGTATTTTGATAATGAAATCCATAATATCTTAGTGTTGTAACCAAGGAAAGGTTACTGAATAGAATAATCAAACGAAAGTTGGTAATGAGCGATAATACTTTGGACACGAACAACACATATAAGATTCGCCAACGGCGCATGGAAGAAGTAGTCAACTGCTAGAAATGAGTCAAATGAATTCCACAATAAATCTCCAACTGCAGGATATCTACCAACCGGGCCGGGTAGCAGTTTCCCGAGACGAGACTCTGCCCTTCGGCATAGCTTCGTCTGGGGATCCTCTCTGACCGGATGCAAAGAGTTTAACCAGCACAGCTGGAGGCGAATCTCCGACTGTAGACCAACATACTACTGTATTTGTGTGGATGGAGACATACCCATTATCGCCCGTAGGTATGCTACAACACTTAGCAAATATACAAATTTTTTTACGGAAGATCGACAGAAAAACGTTTGCTTGATTTTCAGTTTTTTTTTTTTTTTTTTAAATGTAGAACAACCTTTTTGCGCTGTAATTTCAATGTGAAAATCTGTCTGTCTACGATAATACGACCTACAATAAAGGTACAAATATTTTGATGCCTATCTGATTCCTTTCTTGTGAGGAGTGGATGATAAGACAATGGCAAAAATTGATATTCGCAGTTGCTTTAAAGCACATATTTAAATATTTACACAGCATTCCTTTGATCTTATTAGATTTTTCGTCAATTTTGCGTGAGAAAGCTTCATGTGTCTTATTCTCTCAACTCACAAATTTAGTCCAGTGATATTATGCAAAAACATTTTAAACCTTTGCTCAAGGTATGGCTTTTGAAATCCTATCAGTTTCTCACCATTGTTTTGGTTTAATTTATGGAAAAAAACACAGACACACACAGGCGCGTACATATAAGCACACACACACACACACACACACATATATATATATATATATATATACGTACAAGGCACACATACAGGTAAATACATAAAACAAAATTAACGCATTTATTTTAAACAGAATTTTCTTTTTTCAACATAATCGCCTTCTTTGCCAATGTCAAGGATTCTTCAGGCATAAATATTAATAAATCAGATAATAGATTCTATAGGGAAATTTTCATAATAAGATAAATTCTTTTAAACGTACTTGTCTGGCGTTACGGATGCGCCCTCGCGTACTTAACAGAGGGTGTCAAAGATACTTTTACATACTTTGGGGAGGGTTCTTCACACCAAACCAAGCACAGAAGTTGATATAGACATATGTCCGCCAATCCTTCAAATTTTTCAAATATTAAGTTTAAAGAAAGTTTACGGTGTAGACTAGGTTACATTTGTTATTCGTGTACATTTGTAGTTAGTCTATCTTCAACGTTTAACGTATGTAGTAGTGAGTTAACTGAGAAGTGTTCCATTTGACAATGGCATGATATCTATATTGTGAGTGTGCAGATATGATTTTTACATACGGTCGCGCAAATGGTAATGGGCGCGAGGCTGCACGGCTGAATCGGATTGCGTTTCCAGATCGAAAGCAGCGGAGTCATCCAACCTTTGTTGGTGTTTATCGTTGCTTTGCTGATACAGGATCCATGGCACCACTAAATATGGATCGAGGAAGATCGAGATCCCCTCGTAGACCTGACCACGAAGAACACATTCTACAGGCTGTTTGAGACGATCCCAGTATCAGCACACATCAAGTGACCCTAGCATGTTGTGCATCTCTTAGTACCGCATGGACGTACTTCAAGAGCAGCTCTTCTGTATCCATATCATTTGCAAAAAGCTTGTAAATTATTTTTGGATTGTATCTTGGATTTTACATTTAACAGCGTCTACCGTAAACTTTATACTTAATAACTCAAAAACAGAGGATTTGCAGACATATGTTTATATGGACTTTTGTTCTTGTTTGGCGTGAGGAAGCCAGCTTTAAAGTTTCTAAAATTATTTTTGATACACCCTTTATAGTGTCCCAAAAACTGTATAAACAAATTTATGAGTTGATAAATCATTTAATTCTTATTTAGTTTTAGTTTACACTTTACAAGACCCGAGGGCCACTGGAGGTAGAGGATTACAGAGTGAGAGGCTCAGATTATGCGGATATCTGAAGATAACGGTTAACCCTAGACTTGAACAGGTTCAGATTATCTCTTGAGAGTCAGTTCCACAGAGCAGCAGTTCGTGTGAAGATTTTACTCGAGTGGAACTTACATCTCACCAGTGGAATACGAAGGGAATAAATGTTGTTCGCTACAATATGTGTGGCATGGTGGGTCTCGGCGTGAAGGTTAGAACTGGTGGAGCTAAAGAGTGTAGTTCATCGGAACACTCTCCATGGAAATAGCGATAGAACAGCGAGAGGCTTGTGACGTCTCGTCTGCAAGAAAGGGGTTGAGAGTGGAAAATAACTCGTCACCGCCAAGGACGCGGAGACCCTTTTGGACTCTTAGAAACAATAAGTTTCCTTTGTTCAAACTTAACATAGCTTTGAACAAAGGAAATTTATCATAATGTGCTATTGGAAGTTTGAAAACACAATTAAAGTGCAAAGATAATTCACCCCACCCGTGATTTACCATCACTAGTATTAGACGTAAGTTTGAAACAGATGGAAAAATGTTCATAATGTCCACAAGAATAACATTCCAGAAGACCGCGGATACTGACGGGACCACAAAGCAAGAAAGGATACAAAAAACGTATCG